GGGCGATCGGGGGTCGATGCATCTCCACTCAGAGCATCTCGCGGCCGGCATCGTTGGCACCGAGGGTGATGGGCGGCGAGCTGGTTCCAGCAGGCGGTCTGCGAACGACGGGGCGCAACCGGTGCGGATTACGCAGGCACGCGGCAGGGGGACGGCAGGAGGCCGGGAAGGGGAGGGGCACGGGACGGCCTCAGCGCATAGCGCGGAAGACCTGGAAGGTGAGCACGGCACAAAATGAGCGTGGCCATGATGGGCAAGCCTCCAGGTCGCGGAACGAATCCCCAGTGGTCGCTTCGTCTTGTTCCACGTGGAGCGGCGGCTGGCGCCAGGCTGAAGCGCGCAGCGCCACTGCCACGAATCAGCCAAGAGGCACACACACACACACAAACACACACACACACACACTAAACAAGAAAAACACTAACAAAGACAATCAAACCGCACGTCTAAGCAGCGCCCAAAATGCCCACCGCGAATGGGCAGCCGCTCGGGCAGCCAGAGTGCGCGCGCACCGCGACGCGCGAATCAGGCGTTGAGCAGGGACCGACCGCCCTGGCACTCCTGCAGGCCTACCACGACATGTTCTTAGAACGGAAGTGCGTTCGAAGAACCAGTTGAGCAAGGACCGACCGTCCCGGCATTCCTACAGTCCTACCACGAATTGTTCTTAGAACCCAAGAATGTTCTAATAACAAAAAATGCTCTTAGAACATTAACCGAATGTGATAAAACAAGACAGACTCCGCCACAAATGTTCTAAGAACATTTCGTGGAAGCAGAAAAGGTTCTTAGAACATAGTTTGGTAGGGCTATAGGCGGCGAGCCAGGACGCTTCGCCACTGCTTGAACCACGACAGCGTTCTTATAACAGAATGCTGGCGTACACAGCCAAGACGGTCTCGGCCGCGCGTAAGCCACCAGAGGCTCTCAGAATACTCTTTGGTGGGCCTTCGGGCAAGCCAGGGCACCTGGCCTCTGCTTGAGACGCGCAACGCGGCGCGCGAGCCGGGCGCCAGCCAGTCGGGGGCGCGCAAACATGGATTAGCGATCCATGGATTTGGCGCGCGGTCGCCAAATCCATGGATCGGGGGAAATGCCCTCCCCAAAATGCGGCCGGTGCCGCCTCGTTCGGCGGCGGGAATCCGCGATTTCCGATGAAAACGGGACCCGTCGCTAATCCACACCCCCTTAATCCATGTGTGCGATCGCCCGACCAAGAGGCTCACAAGAGGCTCCAAAACTGCCCCCAAGAGGTCCACGAGAGCGCTCCGACGAGACCCCAAGAAGCAGCACTGAGGACTCTGGCCCACAACCCGGGCACGGTGCCGGGATGGGCCGAAGGCCATTGGATAACCTGAAACTACCAACACAACAAAAAGCGTATGTAAACAGGTATACGTGCGTGTGTGCTCGAAGCTTTCAATCGCCTGAAGTTGAGCAGGGACCGACCGTCCCGGCATTCCTATAGACCTACCACGACATGTTTTTAGAGCCCCAAAAAGTTCTAATAACGAAAGCCATGTTCTTAGAACATGAGCCCGATGTGATAAAACAAGACACCCACAGCCAGAAATGCTCTAAGAACATTTCGTGGAAACCGCAAACAGTTCTCAGAACATGGCTTGGCAGGGCTCTAGGCGAGCCGGGACGCATCGCCACTGTTTGAGGAAGCCAGGCGCGGCAGCCCGCTCGCTCGGGGCGCTCCGCCGGCTGGAGGAGCCGAGCCGGCTGCGCGCAGGGGAGGCACGGGCTGGCAGCGGAGCGCGGCTGGCCCCTCGGCCCTGGAGCTCCACGGGCCGCAGGCCGCGCGCCGAGGCCGCGGCCCTCCCAGGGCGCCCCGCGGGGTGTCTTTGGGGCTCCCCCCTGCTGTCCAGACGAGCGCGTTGCACGACTCGCAGAAGAACTGCTCGCAGATGGCCTGGATCCGCCGCGGGGGATCTACGACCGATGTCGTCGTGGAAGCGGACACATGCTTTTCGGACGTTTGCGAGTGGGCGCTTTGCGAGCAGTGGGACGCGCTCGGTGACAGTCGGCCTCGATCACAGTGCCGGTGACAATCGATGAACGGCCGTTTCAATTCGACTGGGCACCAAGTCCGCTTCTCCTCATGGGGGCTATGTATTAACCGTTTCCATCGACAAACCACTGCTGCCCCCAGGGAGTCACACGAGTGAATAGTCGGCCCGGGCCTCGCGCTAGCTCGCCCGCAGCGGGCGCCGGTTGCTGTCGCTGCGCTGCGGCGCGGGCTGCTGTGCTCCAGACTGCAGCTCTCGCGCGGCGCACGCGCCGAAACAGCCGTGCGGCCCAAAGCGTGGCCCAGAAATGCGCTCAAGTGTTGCCCGCTTCGAATGACTGAATCGGGCGCTCGCGCATGAGGTCGGGGACAAGAAACGAAAGCCAGGCAGAACTATCGGGCCACCCCTGTCGCGATGACAGGTCGGACTCCATGCATGCGCTGCCTCGACAAAGGCTTCCCTCCACCACTCGAGCCCAGAAAATTAACTTCCCTGCAGACTTGCAGAGCTTCAGCCAAAATCATGTCAGGCACGGCGGCGATGACGACGGTGATTCCTTCGATGTGCCCTGGAAGCACTCGGAATCCTTCCTTGGTGCTCATGGGGTTTCGTCAAATCCCCACGGAAACCCCTGGAGTCCCTCCCCGAGGCATCAGGGCCCTCGGGGCCCCTATGGGACTACTTCAACCATTCCGTCCAGGGTTGCGATTGAGGCTTAAGGTTAGCAAAGGAGGTCTCATCCCAAGCGCAAGCGGCCAGATACCAGACTCACCCCCATAATACGAATCACCAACTCAAGGGAGTGTCTCGTTTTCGGGGGCTCGGGGACGAGAAAGGCAACCGATCTGACGCGTGCTACGCACATCCCAGACATCCGACGACGTGCTCTGTTTATTGCAGCATCGATGCTCCCCAGAGCTCTGGACCCACTCCTGGGAATCTGCGGCTCGTTCCGAACAGCCGCCCGACGGCCCCGAGGCCCAGCGAGGGGCCCGGGAGCTGTTATCTCACGAAGGGACGAGGCGAGGGGACGAGGGAGAGGGAGGAGGCGAGAGGAGGAGAAGGAGGAGGGAAGGGAGGAGGTGAGGGAACGTGGGAGGAGGTGAGTGAGTCTGAGGACGAGGGAGGAGGAGGAGGAGGAGGAGGAGGAGGAGGAGATGGGGCAGGAGAAAAGAGGACGAGGAAGGAGGAGGAGGAGGGACGAAGGAGGATGAGGGAAGGAAAGAGAATCTGGAAGCCTCATGTGTCCCGCCGCCGCCTCCTGACATCCTCCTCCTCTGTCTGCGCTCTGCCTGGCCGCCTCACTGGACGCCGCCTCTTCGCCCAGTCAGACAGCGCGTTGCGACGAAAACAAAAAAGCCGGAGGCTTGCCGCTGTCATCACCATCTCTTCTCCTGCTCCTCCTCCTCCTTCTCCTCCTCCTCCTCCACCTCCTCCTCCTCCTCAAACTCCTCCTCCTCTCCTCCTGCTCATCCTCCTCCTCCTTCCTTCTCCTCCTCCTCCTGCTCCCCCTCCTCCTCTTCTCCAACTCCCCTCACTCCTCCTGCTCCTGCTCCCTCTCCTCCTCCTCCTCCTCCTTCTCCTCCTCCTCTGCCTCTTCCTCCTCCTCCTCCTCCTCCTCCTCCTCCTGTTCCTCGTCATCATCCTCCGTCCTCATCATCCCATCATCCTCATCATCATCATCATCATCATCATCATCATCATCATCATCATCATCATCATCATCATCATCATCATCATCATAATCATCATCATCATCATCATCATCATCATCATCATCATCATCATCGTCATCATCATCATCATCAGCATCATCAACATCATCCTCATCACCAGCAGCAGCATCATCATCATCAGCAGCAGCATCATCATCATCACATCATCAGCATCACCATCATCATAAGCATCGTCATCATCATCATCATCATCATCATCATCATCATCATCATCAGCAGCAGAAGCTGCAGCAGAAGCAGCAGCAGCATCAGCATCATCATCATCATCATCAGCAGCAGCAGCAGCATCAGCATCATCAGTATCATCATCTGCAGTATCATCATCACCATCAGCATCACCATCATCATCATCATCATCATCATCATCATCATCATCATCATCATCATCATCATCATCATCATCATCCGCATCATCATCATCATCAGCAGCAAACCACCATCATCACAATCGTCAGCATCATCATCACGATCATCACCTGCATCATCCTCATCATCTTTATTTGCATCATCATAAGCATCATGACCAGCATCGTCATCATCATCACAATCAGCATCGTAATCATCATCATCATCATCATCATCATCATCATCATCATCATCGGCATCATCATCAGCATCATAAATTATCATCATCATCAACATCATCATCATCATCCACCGTCGTTCCCCATCGTCCTCCTCCTCCTCACAGCCATCGTCGTCATAATAATCATCAGCAGGAACATCAGCATCACCAGGATCACAATTATCAGCATCACCATCATTAGCAGTATCATCTCAGTCATCCTCATCATCATCAGCAGAATCAGAATCATCATCATCATCATCATCATGATCAACAACATCAGCATCAGCAGCAGCAACGGAATGGTAAGCAGAATCATCATCAACAAAATCAGCACTCAACGTCATCATAATCAGCATCATCATCAGAATTGTCATCGGCACCTTCATCTTATCGTGATCGTCATCATCATCACCACCATCAGCATCATCATTGTCATCCTCATAACCATCAAAGTCTTATTCTTCATTAGCAGCATCAGCATCATCATCCTCATTATCTTCCTTACCATCATCATTATCACTATCAGCATCAGCATCAGCATCATTATCATCATCCTCATCCGCATCATCATCAGCAGCAGCATCATCATCACCATCATCCCCCTCCTCATCATCCTTCCCCTCCTCCTCCTCGTCATTCTCGTCCTCCTCCTCCTCCTCCTCCTCCTCCCCGCAGGCAGACCACAGCGAGCATCGCGTTCTCCAGCTGCTGCACGCTGCCGGCGAAGGGCCGCACGATGAACTCTACAGACTGCTTGGACTCCTTGCGCCCCCAGGGAGGGGCAGGGCCCTTTCCCCTCTTCCATCCCATCCCTGTCACGAACCCTCATCCTCATCACCATCATCATCATCATCATCATCATCATCATCATCATCAGCATCATCATCATCATCATCATCATCATCATCGTCATTAGCAGCAGCAGCAGCAGAAGCAACAGCAGCATCATCATCAACCGTGTTATCGTCGTTATCGTCAACCTCATGCTCATCAGCATCATCATCACCACCACCACCTCCTGCCATTATCATCAGCAGCATCATCATCAGCGGCATCATCGGCTTCATCAGCATGACCATCAACTGAATCAACCGCATCATAACATCATTATCGGCACCATCATGATTTCATCACCACCACCAGCACCACCAACAACATCATCATCAACGTGATCATCATCGTCAACATCATCTTCATGATCAGTCGGTATCGCTATCATCCAAAACAATCATCATCACCAGTATCGGCAGCAGCATAATGATGACGATCATCATCATCATCATCATCATCATCATCATCATCATCATCATCATCATCAGCATCATCATCATCATCATCATCACGATCAGCATCATCATATTTGTCATCACCATCAGCATCATCGCCACCATCATAACCATCATCATAACCATCATCATCATCGTCATCATCACCATCAACGTCACCATCACCGTCACCATCATCATCACCATAATCAAATTCACTATCATGATCGTCGTCATCACCATCAACATCAGCAGCATCATCACCATCACCACCATCATTATCATCAGCATCATAGGTACCATCATCTCTGGCAGTATCATCTCATGACGAATACCCGTCTTTCATCTCCACCACCACCAGCATCAACACTAGAAGCATCAGCACGAGCAGCACCATCATTGGCGACGTCATCATCATACTCATAATCAACATCACAATTGTCACCACCACCAGCACCGCTATCACCATCACAAGAACCATCATCCTGATCTTCATCAGAATCCTCATCCTCATCATCATCGTCATCATCATCAACATCATCAGCAGCAGCATCATTATCACAATCGTCCTCATCATCATCGTCATCAGCATCATCAGAATCATATTCGTTATCATCATCGTCACCACCACCATCATCATCGTCATCATCGTCATCAGTATCATCATCGTAAGCATCAGCATCATCATTGTCATCGACATTATCAACATCAGCATTAACATCAGCATCATCATCATCGTCATTGCCATCCTCATCCTCATCATCAGCAGCATGATCATCAGCATCATCATCATCGAAATCAGCATCATCATCGTCGTCGTCATCAGTCTCATTATCATCCTCATCCTCCTCCTCAGAATCATCATGACCATCATCAACACCACCACCATCACAGCCATCACCACCATTACCATCACAATCACTCTGCTGATCCTCCTCCTCCCCCTCGTCCTTCTCCTCCTATCTCCTCCCTCTCCTCCCTCCCTTCTCCTTCCCTCCCTCCTTCCTTCTCCTTCCCTCCCTCCCTTCCTCCCTTCATCCCTCGCTCAGTCCCTCCCTCCTCCGTTCCCCCCCATACGTTTCTCCCCTTGTTTCAGCTACACATTATGAATGTTACTCTCCTATCTCCCCTGACTCTGTCTGGATGATGATCAGCCCTCTCCGCACAGAGGATTTCAAAAGTTGACTTTGGTATGGCGCTTTAAAATCCGATTGCGAAGTGTTCTTATTCGGCGTGTCGACGTTGGGCGAAGGAGAGGGAGGGGGTGGGGGTCTGGCTCCAGACATATGCTGAGCGCGACTGCTTGAAACAGTGGTCCTATGGGGAATCATATGGGGAATCCCATTTGGGAGTCTGACGAGGGAATCCTATGTGTGAGTTCTATGGGGGAATATGGTGGCAAGAAGACACATGATGCGAAACAACGATTCGCGTGTCCACCAGGAGGGTGGGGGAGGCGGGGCCCCCGTGATTACTCCGTCTGCTTGTAACAGGCGCCAAAAACAGCCAAGATCTACTCCACGGGGGGGGGGGGGGCGAGGGCCCGCGCCGATCGGCAAAACAATGAATAAGGAAATGATCATAATGTCTTTGGTGTTTCGGAATGGTGTTCCCGCTGCAGCGCTCCCGTCCCGTCGTTCAGAATGGCACTCTCGCCCCAACGCGGTCCCCTGTTCTGCATCCCCCCTCCTCCTCCTCCTCCTCCTCCTCCTCCGCCTCCTCCTCCTCGTCCTCCTCCTCCTCCTCCTCCTCCTCCTCCTCCCCCTCCTCGATCCTCCTCCTCGTCCTCCTCCTCCTCCCACTCCTCGATCCTCCTCCCACTCCTCGATCCTCCTCCTCCTCCTCTTCCACCTCCTCCTCCTCCTCCTCCTCTTCCTCCTCCTCTTCCTCCTCCTCCTCCTCCTCTTCCCCTCTCTCCCTCCCGAGTCCTTTTTCGTCGCTGACCCCCCCGTCATCCCCCCTCCTCCGCCTTCCCCTGGTCATCCTGCTCCCGCCGCTCCCTGCACTCCAGCTCCTGCTGCTGCTGCTGCTGCTGCTCGGCCTCGTACTCCTCCTTCCTCGCCCTCCTTCTCCTCCTGCCCATCCTCCTGTTCATCCGCCACCTCCTCCTCCAGTGTACGTAACTCCCTTTCTCCTCCGACTGCGCATAACACGATGGGGTCCTCTTTTCTAGTGCCAGGTCCGCTATGACACCCGTCGGCGAATAGGGACAAAACAGCGCAATTGGAAGTGAAGGGAAGGATGTCAGATCTAGTGCGAGCGCACCTGGCTCGATCTCCCCCCCTCCTCCCCTCCTCAAAGGTGGGCGGGCCCAGGCATACTTACGACGTTGCACTTACTTCATAGCGTAGCTCCCCAGAGGTCTGGGCTCCTCCCCAGGGACCGGCGTGTTCGCCCCAGGCCCCAGGCCCCGCAGAGGCTCCCAGAGGCAGAAAACGGCCGAGGCATCCACGATGGCTCCGAGAGGGCCCCAAGAGGGAGGGCCCCACAATGGCCCCCAATGCATTTAAGAAGCTCCCAGAGCGTGACCGGATGCTGCTGCACAGCCCCGATCGGGGCAGCTCGCCGGGTGACTGTTTTCCAAAAGACGTAGAACTCGAGTTGGCCTTCGGGGCAGTCAGAAAAACGACGAGACCTACAGTCAACCCGTAGAATAAGGTTTATTTCTTTATAGGCAGCATAGAGGACCACTTCGTGAAATATTCGCCTGCTCGTGATAAGTACGTATACTACACTCGAGAGCTGACAGGTCACTAGTGCCACGCTGTCACGCCGCAGAGCGTGATCCCACTCTGGGTAGTATGCAGTCCCCCCGATGAGAACTGAGATCGGGGCTCCGAAACTCGAAAGCAAGTCACCCCCTCGTTCTGGCGACTCCTGGCCATGCGCAGGTCACCAAAGGCAAAGCCTCAAGACTGCCAAATCATCGCACGCTCGAGCAGCGGACATTGCCCCCGCTAGGTGTGCCGCACGAGTGAAAGGACGCACGATAAGGATGCAATGGCATCCGAAGGCCATGTCGACACTTTGCGAGCGGGGCGCGGCCAGCGAAAGTTGCCAAGGATGGGCCGAAGGGAAGGATGCAAGGGTAACCTTGGAACAACACTGCTCAGCCTTACTATGTGGGTAGACTGTAATTTGAAATGTGACGCGAGCTCTCGCTGCAAACATCTCGCACACAAACTGGACCATCAAAACCCAGCACGGGCCTGACAAAAAGCGTTGGCAGACCCAGGTTCTGGCGAACTCGACTTACGTTTTGGAGACGGCCACGGGGTATGAACTGGATGGGCCCCGAGAGAATCGGTCAAGAAGGAGTGCTAACGGCAAATCCGCTGAGGATTGGTCCCCAGACCCCTCCAGGGGTCCATCTGCTGCACGTGTTCACCCCAAATCCTTTTTTGACGGTCTCGGGGCCCGACAACGGCCCCTGGGGGCCGAACAAAGCAACAAGCCTTCTCGAACCCAGAACCTCGAACCTCCCTCCCTTCCTGCTGGCCAGAACCGGTGCTGGGCCACCTCAGACCCCCAGCAGGCTCCAAACTGAATTCTCCCGATGTTCCCTCATCAGATCTGACGTTGCAGCAAAAATCGCATAACACCACCACCACCACCACCACCACCACCCCATCGGAGCCCCCGGACCAATCTGTCCGCGTCGCTTGTCGGACTGGATCGACCTGTATGGCCTCGGGGCCCGAAACCGGGCGAGACCGCCCCGTGCAAAAAAAAAAAGAAAAGTTGCAACGCCCGGGTCCCAGGGTCTCTGCAAGGTTCGAGGGCTGCTACAGGGCGCCCGGGGCCCAAAGTGCGCCCAGTTGTTCGCCGAATTTGGGAGCCCCTGGGGCCTTCTGGGCCGCGTGAGGGGCGCTCTGGAGGCCATGGGAGCCCCCTCGGAAATCCTGGGGGCACCTCGGACCAGAGGCGCTTGGTGTAGCGTGGGGAGCGAAGGGATGCGTAGAGAATGCTCTGGGCCACGGCTGCGGCTCTCCTGGTTGTGCCGAGGATCCCTGAGATCCGACGGCTGGACAAATCGGAGCAGCGCGAAAAAACACGACTGGAGCCCTAGACCCCATCTTCCTGCGCCATTCTTCATGCCAGATCGATCTGGGAGGGTCCTAGGGCCCGAACCTAAGCGAAAACGCCCAACTCGAATGAATTGAGACGACAGGATCTCAGGGGAGGCCCTGGCCTGCCGAAGTTCGGAGCAGGGCGACTCGACACAACAGCAGCTCAAGATCCATCCTTGGACCTGTCCCGCACGGAGCTTTCCGGGGAGAAAGAAAAACACTGACACGAATCAACGCACATGTCCCAGACAATATTGGAGAATATAAGGGAGGACTATAATCCATGAAATTCGCTGGCCCAACGGGCCAGAGGCGCGCTAAAATCTCTGGTAACTGGTGAATAATATACGTCTAATTCGCGCGTGCGGGGCGGCCCCCGGGGGTCCCTGGACGGACACTCGGGGCAGAGATGGCGTTCCCGCGCGCGGCCTTTCAGCCTCCCAGAGCGCTCCAAGAGGGTCTACAAGGGGCTTCCATCAACGGTCCAACAAGGCTGCAAGTCGCAGACCGATCGATCCAACACACCCACGATGGCTTCCAAACGGCCTCCAAGACGCCCAAGGAAGCCTCCAAGAAGCATCTCCAGAGGACCCCAAGAAGCAACACATACAGATCCCCCTTCATTTTTTGTCAGCGATTCTGGCGTTCTTACTTTTTGGGGCCCCCCGACGCTCCAAGACGGCCCAAGACGCCCCCAAGATCACCCAAGATGGCACAAGAGGCCTCCGAGAGAGCCCCAAGACGGCCCAAGAGGGCCCCAAGAGCGACTGACCCCCAGGGAGCAGTTCCACAGCAACGGCTTCACCCCAACGCACCGCCTCCGAAAAGTGGCCGCCGCCCAGACGCACCGCATCAACAACAACAACAACAACAACAACAACAACAACAACAACAACAACCATTTTAAGGCTGTACGCTCTTACTTGCCCGCGAGTCATTCAACACGTAGACCCTACACCCTCGATGCCCGCCCTCTTCGTCTTCGATCACACCCCTTTCGGGGGGATTGTTTCTCTTTGCTGGGGCCGGCGGGCTTAGACGTACGGGCAAACCGGAACGGGCGGACAATCCTTCGGGGGCGTACATCTCTCTGCCCGCCATTGGAATTGGCGCGGGCCCTGCAAGAGGAGGAGGGGAAGAACGAGGGAGAGTGGGAGGAAGGGGAGGGGGAAGGACGAAGGAAGAGGGAAGATACCACGTTGTGAAGGCGTCCTTGGCGCGCGCGTGGTTCCTGAGCGCCGAAACGCAATTCCAGAATAATTTGTGAGGACGTCGCACGCGAGAGCACAGTCCTGAGTACATTGTGAGGAAATCTCAAGCGGAAGCGGGGGCCCTGACTAAGTTGCGAGGAAATCTCAAGCGGGAGCGCCGTTCCTGAGCAAATCGCACGGAAGTCTCAGGCGGGAGCGGGGGTCCTCACTAAATTGCGAGGAAATCTCAGGCGGGAGCGCCGTTCCTGAGTCAATTGCGCGGAAATGTCAGGCAGGAGCGGGGGTCCTGAGTAAAATTCGAAGCAGTCTCAGGCGGGAGCGCCGTTCCCACGTAAATTGCACGGAAGTCTCAGGCGGGAGCGGGGGTCTTGATTACATTGCGAGGAAGTCTCAGACGGGAGCGCCTTTCCTGAATAAATTGCGCGGAAGTCTCAGGCGGGAGCGGGGGTCCTGAGTAAAAATCGAGGAAGTCTCAGGCGGGAGCCGTTGTTGTTGTAGCCCGGGGGGCAGGGGCACAGTTTGAGCAGGAAGACTTTCCTTCAGAAAAAACAAGGTGCGAGCCCCGGGGGTGGCACTTCAATCGAAAAAAATCAATGTGCACCGGTGGGGGGTGATCAACAACAATTATTCTTCAAGAATGAGAGTTCAACAACAACAACAACAACAACAACAACAACAATCACTTTACCCGAACGCTCAGTGTTCTCACCAGTGCCAGGGTTTTCATGCGACGCCAGCCAATACCCCCACTTTGTGGGGGGGCAGTGCAAGCTCTACCAAATATCCACACGACTCTTCGCCACCACCCACACCCAGCTTCCCGCCCTATGACGTTCGGACACTTCACTTCGTGGCCTGCGGACGACCGTGGCTACTACACTGGCGTGGAGTACACACCCACAGAAGTTGTTAAGCCTACGTTCGTACACTCGCGTGCGTGCTATGCTATGCTACGAACCCCGTTGCAAGAGCGTGCGAAAGTAGCTCGCGCGAGCTCATGTAACATAAATGTTGGGAAACCATTGTTTTTTTTTGGGATTCGGACAGCGCGCGCGGGTGGAAATTTTGAAAAGTCGTGCAGCTGTTTTTCGAGGACCTACGGTGCGATTCGTGTGATTTTATGATGCGCGGTGCTAAAATTCTTAAGAACCCAATGGTTTTTGGAGATTTCGGCGTGCGCGCGCGAAGAAAAAACGAATGTGTCCCGCATGGTATTATTTGACAGGGATGATGGCCCTGGCAGGTGCGCAACCGTTGTCGCAGAAGTTCGAAAAAGTTGCTCGCAAAAGCCCGTTTGACAGAAATGTTTAAAAAGTGTTGGGTTTCCTACGAATCCGCAAGAGCGCGCGGGATGAGATTTTGACATTTTTTTGTTGAAAAACCATTAGTTTTTTTGATGTTTTTATGTTAAAATCGTTCCGAACACTAAGCTTTTGGAAGGATTTCGTCTTGCGCGCGCGAATGTCCACTTTACCTTATTTTTTGCAAGGGATTCTTGAAATTTGATTATATTAGAACAAGAAATGTCATTTTATAGTGTTTTTTGCAAGGGAAAGCGGGGGGGAACAAAACAACCGGATCTTGATCACATCGAATTACCTGAGGCTTCCTCACGAAAATGATGAAAATGTAGCTGCGGCCTAGGCGGCGCAGGGGGGCCGTGCACCAGGGGTCCCAACAATAATTATTCTTTAGAATTAATAATGTTCAACAACACCCAGGCCAACGACAGCAGCGAGACCATATGGGCCGGCGGAATGAGCGAAGCGATTGATTCATATAAAGGAACGTGCGAAGTATCCTGGAACTTATGCCTATATATGTGTCTCTCCCTGGCCCCTTCAAGCTTGGGCGGGGGCTTGGATGGACTGGTGCCCGAGGTGGCGGGCCTGAGGGCTCGCCCTGGCACCCAGCCGGGGAGGAGAGCCCGGCATCGAATCGATAAGTCGGATCGGCAATCAAAATGAATCGGACTGGAGAAGATCGGCAGCCGAGTCGGGAGAAGCCGAATCGGTGGAAACCGGCAGGCCAATAGGCCTCCATTGAGAAATGGGAGCCCCAATCGGAAGCCGAAGCCGAATCGAGTCAGAATCGGAAGCCATCGAAATCGAATCGCATCGAATACGAGGAGTCGAAACGAGCCCTGCCCTGGCACCCGCGCGGGGGGTGGGGTCGCCCCGCGCGCGGGGCGGGCGACGGGCCTTCGGCAGGAGGCCGCCCGGGCGCCCTCTGGAGGGATGAGGATCGAGGACCCCCGGAGGGATCGAGGATCGAGGAGCGAGGATCGAGGATTGAGGGATCGGGGATCGAGTTCGAGGATCGAGGATCGACGATCTAGGATTGAGGGATCGAGGATCGAGGGATCGGGGGGTCGAGGATCGAGGATCTGGGATTCGGGGATCGAGGCTCGAGGATCGGGGGGTCGAGGATCGAGGGGTCGAGGAACGGGGGTCGAGGAGCGGGGGTCAAGGCGCATGCCTCGCAGCGTGCTCTTGTACGCGAGGGGCGCCCATGCACCGTACCACGCTTGGACTCCCTTCTGGCCCCGCTCCAGCGCAGTAAGGTGCTCGGTCTTCTGGCCCCCCGAGGGCCGAGAGACCATTGTCAAGGGCTCCCAACCTCGCGCTTCGCGCTGCGCGAAGCGCGAAGTGCGAATAACTTCGCGCTCTCGCGCCGCCTCCCAGGGGAGAAGAGGAGGATGAGGAGGAATCGGAGCCGAATCGCGAAGCGCGGAGCGCGAACAACTTCGCGCCCTCGAGGGCGACCTTGGACCATGCACCGTACCAGTCCTGGGCCGAGGATCGATGACGCCTCGGGGAGGCGCCAACGCAGCACGGTGTACACAGGTCGTCCGCGGAAATTGATTGCACGGAGCGCGGCTCGAAGATCGAGGAAGGAGGAGGAGGGACGGGGGGAGATGAGGATCGAGGGATGCGGGATTGCGACGCCAATGCAGCCGATAGCTTGTCAGAACGGAGAGCTCGAGGTGGGGTGGGAAGGAGAGGCAAAGGGGGAGGAGGAGGAGGAGGAGGAGGAGGAGGAGGAGGAGGAGGAGGAGGACGAGGAGGAGGAGGACGAGGAGGAGGAGGAGGAGGAGGAGGAGGAGGAGGTGGAGGAGGAGGAGGAGGAGGAGGAGGAGGGAGGAGGACGGAGGAGGGAGAACGCAGGAGCAGGAGGGAGGCGTCAAGAAATGCAGCAACAGCTCGTTCCAAAGTTCCCCGACGCGAGGTCAGGGAAGGGAGCGGGCCAGCGCCAGCCCGTGCTCCTGCCCAATCGGCAGCATGCTCGCCGACAGCATGGCCGTTTCGATCTGCACCAGCTGCACCTCCCAGCGCTGGCGGGCCCCACCCCCGAGCTGGCCGCAGCTGGTCCTGCTCCTGCTGCAGATCGGATCGGATCGGCGAGTCCCCGATGCAACAATGGCGCCACGCAGGCATCGGGCCGCACCTGGTCGCCGGAACTTCGGACTGAAATCGGACCGAGCCGGCTGGGATCGACGACGAACCAGATCGATCGGATTAAAGCGGGCCCTGCCATGCCAGGCGGCATGCAGGGAATGCCCAACTGGCGTAAAAAAACAGACGTCATCAGGTAGGGGCGGGACGCAATACGATAAACGCACGATGTGAGCGTGTGGGATTCGCACGTCCGACCTGCACACAACAGTGGTACAGTGGGGGCCCGACCACAAGAAAGCTTCCACAAGAAACCCAACCCTGAGACCCCAGGACGTCCATTGATTTTTGGTATTGGAAAGTCACGCTTCCCGTAGCAAAACCATCGAAACCCAAGATAACCCAGGGCACCCTGGAGGCAAGCAGGGTGATTCTTGGCATGGGACCCCCCTGTACGGTAGATCGTTCCCTAAACGGTATGGCGAGAAAGCGCCCGCCACAGAGCATACACTATAAGATTTCTGAGCGCGCGCAGCGCCCGTGGGACTCCGACGCGCACGTCAGATGAGTTCCACCAGCCCTTTAGGGCGTGAGCGGTTTATCGGGGGCGCGCAAACATGGACTAGCGATCCATGGATGTGGCGCGCGGTCGCCGAATCCATGGATCGGGAGAGGTGCACTCCGCAAAATGCGGCCGTTGCCGCCTCGCTCGGCGGCGGAAATCCGCGTTTTCCCATGGAAACGGGACCCGTCGCTAATCCACGCCCCCTTGATCCATGTTTGCGATCGCCTGAGTTTAAAGCATTTCCTCTTGCAACCTACCTTCTTCCCCTTCGCAGAGGGGTTTACCACTCCCTCTGTCCCCTGCGCCATTGGAGCGTCAAAGAAGCCCTCGGCGAGAAGGCAAAAATCATAGATCTGACTGAAGTTCAGAGTCAGGTTGGGCCTCCTGGGGAGGGGGGGGGGGGGGGGGGCGACGCTAATTAAGAACCCCCCCCCTTCTTTGATCGATCTCCTCCAAGATGGCCCCAAGATGGCCCACAACGCTCCCGACAGTGTCCCAAGAGGGCCCCAAGAGGAGCCCAGGAGGCCCGAGAGGTCCCCAAGAGGTCCCCGAGAGGCTCCCCAGAGGCTCCCCAGAGGCACCCTAAGATGCAAGAAGAGGCCTCCAAGATGCCCCAAAAAGACTCCAAGAAGCCAATCCCTTTTTCCACTGCATGCTCCTAGGCATCGTTTCTGGATGGGCTGGTGGGACTACGCGAAGAGTCTAGACGATGTCTGGGTGATGCCGAAAGGATAGAGAGCCCACGAAAAACGTACGCGCCCACCCACGTACATGAACACGGTCCCCCAATCCGCGAGACCAGCGGCGTGATACGAACGTTCGCGCAATGCCGACTCTCGGAGAAAACGCGGCTTCATGCACGTGTACGTCCTTCTGTCGCTCCTGAAAGGGGGCCGGAGGGCGACGAGCAGTCGCAGGCCGAGGAGCCCGCCGCAAAAAAAATACACTATACCCCACAGAACGCCCTCCCAGGGGCGTGGTTGGTGTATGCTGAGCGAGGCCCTGGGCGGTGGAACCTGCTCGAGGCGGGAAGGGCGTGGCATACAAGAGAACTCTCGACGAAGGCGTGGTGCTGGGGAAACCACACGGTACGGACACCGCTACGCCCCGAACCTCTCCGCGGGCGCGTTCTGACCGGCACTTCGAGGCGAATCCGGCGGCGGCGGCGAGGACCTCCCGGGGAGCCCAGACGAAGTAAAAAACGAGGGGAGGGCAGCGGCATGGGCGTCTCCTTCTCCTCTGCGGGGCGGGCACGTCGCTCAGGTCCACCAGCACGGAGTAGGGGTGGAAGTCCCGCATCACGCCGTAGAAGTAGTCCCGGACCTTCCGCGCGCAGCGGCCGCCGGCGGGCGGCCCCGAGCCGCCGATCGGCCGAGCCGCCCGCACCGGCCGAGCCGATCGAGTCGACGACGGCGACGGCAACGGTGACGACGACGACGGCGACGACGAATACGACGACGACGGCGACGACGACGACGACGACGACGAATACGACGAATACGACGACGGCGGCGACGACGACGACGACGACGACGACGACGACGACGACAACGGCGGCGGCAACGGCGACGACGGCGAATAAGACAACGACGACAACGATGACGACGGCGGCGACGACGACGACGACGGCGGCGGCGGCGGCGACGACGGCGACGACTGCGACGACGACGGCGACGACGACGACGACGGCGGCGACGACGACAGCGGCGGCGGCGACGACGGCGACGACCGCGACGACGACGGCGACGACGTCGCCGGCGGCGGCGGCGAAGTCGGGCCCCACGGCCCCACATCCGTTCGGCATGGAAGAAACGGGCCCCTGAGGGAAGCGAGCCCGGGAACTCAGGTGCGGACAATACTTATCTCCATATCCAGTGCGTCTTGGAGTTTCTTGGAAGGGGTGCCGCAAGGCCGAGGCGCACTGGATATGGATAAAATCTAACATTTGGTGGCCAAATTTAAATACATATCCAGTGCGCCCCATGCTTTCGGGGAAGAGAGCAGAAACTCCAAGACGCACTGGATGTGGATATAGACATTGCCCGCATCAAGGGCCCATTTCCTGGACCAACTTCCCATCCTGAGCTTGGACGCCCGAAATGGGTACGGAAAAATGGTACTATGCCAAACAACACATGTTGCCCAAAACCGACAACGGCCGCTCTTGGGCATGCTTCAGTGAACAACGTTCGCGGCCGCGCGGACAACGAGTCTTGTTCAAAATGAACAAGAAGTGCTGTTGGGCATCGTATCTTCTTCCCGTACCCATGTCGATCGTCCCGATTGAATCGCTTTTGTTGACAGGTCCCAGGGCCAGGAAAACGGGGAAAAAGGCCTCGAGAACCTGAAAAAACCGTGAAACCACCCAGAAGCCGTTTCCCTCAGGGCCCGCTCGTTTTACGGCGAACCCGTGGAGGAGGGATCCGCCCCTGGAGGGACGTAAATAGAATCGATCGGTGGATGCCGCAGCGCTGGCATCAGCAGGCATCGTCATCGAATCGACGGACCTTGGACAATCCCGCTCTTGAGCTGGAGCGGGCCTCGCAGAGTGCAACACATGGGGTGCAATATGTAAAGTGAAATTGACTGTGGACATCTGCGCGTGACCACCTCCCACGTTCGACCACCAACCCGCAACCTGATGGCACAACTCAAGTTGTGTAACGACGCGACGAATTGTCAAACTCACATGGGGCTCCAGAAATGCCTACACTCAACGACCGATGGGTACAACGTTCTGCTACACAAATCCCCTGCCAAAGTTCCTACGAATTGTGCGCAACTACGTATTGCTAGTGTCCAAGGCACCGGCGTTGCATGCACAAGTTGGGCATGAACGCGAGGCGCGCGCGCGTGGCCTGCATTACGTTGCGCCAGGAAGGGTTCCGACACGGACGCGCTAGATCAATGCACGTGCACCGCGCAGCACCTGCTGCAGGAAATCGGAAGGACGACGCCTTCTCAGGCTCAGACGATCGGAGGCGAGGGGGCGAGATCTCAGTGGCACGGAGGGCCCCGCACCTTGAGGACGAAAAAGCGCCATAAGCATAAGCTGATGGCGTTCCGCGCGGATTTCTTGGATCTGCGTTGGACCCCTTCCCTGGCGCGCGGAGCGCGCCAGGGGCAGCGACGGAGGCGCCGCCGAGGGGGGGCCCAGCGCGGATCCAAGAAATACGCGCGGAGCGCCAACAAGTGATGTTTATGGCGGTTTGTCTTCTTCGACCACGGGGAGATCGGTTTCGGTTTCGTGCTCGCGTCGCGCGCGAAACAGACACGCACAGTCAGACACGCGCGGAACGTCCAAGGGACGGCCAATTTGTGGGCAGCGCGGCAGGCCCGCAGGCCCCGCTGAACCATTTCAGCATGCTGTAATCGTTAGAGCGCGCATTCTACAAATGCGTCCTCCCGTTGCCTAACGGGTCGCACGGCTCTCCGTGTCATGCGGTTGGGATGCCATAAAAGTATCACCTGCGCCCATGGGCCCCCGTAACTTATCAAGCCATCGCACGGCCGCCTGCTTGCGTGAGCCAACCCAATCATAAAGAGATAGTGCCCAATCTCTCTTCTGCTTCATGGGTCGCGTGCTTGATCCAGTCAGGCCACGGCTCTAAAGCGCCCTCCGCGATGTCCAGCGCGCCCACATTGCCCACCGACGGACGAGAATACTCTAGCCCAGGAGGTGTCCGGCACCTTTTGCTCACCAGAATCACCCCCAGCATCTTCCTCTGCGTTCTGCGTAGTTTGTATTCCAGGTCCTTCGTAACCGCCCACGTTTCGCCCCCAAATAAAGCAGATGAGGATACTGCGCAATCGAAAAGACGGGGTCTCGAATTGAGCGACTACCTGCGATCAGTCAATATCGAACGTTGCGACATATATATGTTCCTAGGTGCGCCGATCCTCTTGCCAAGCTCTGTCTCATGCGGGCGGGCGAAACATACGATCCAGCCCAGATACTTTACGTGGCATTCATGAGGCGCGACGCCAATGCGCATCTCACCAATATGGATACTCTGCTCCTTGGGGCGCCCCTCTCAGGGGTAGCGTTCGAAAGAACATGTCCAACCCGCGCTTGCCGGCTGCCGTGCGAACATCTGCAAGCATGCCCCTGATCTCATTGAGCGAAGTACCAATAAGCATGGCATCATCAGCGAAAACTCAGGTTTGTGAGTCGCCACAGGTTGGTCTCGCCGACTTTGAGGCCCCACCGCTTCTTCGGCCACATTGTCCTGGCATCGCCAAACATGTCTTCCATTATGGCATCGGGAGAAAAAAAAAAAAAAAAAAAAAAAAAGCTCGAAAGGCACCCTTGCTTCGTGCCCAGCAAGGATGACTTGACTCACTCAACTCGTCAGTTCTGACCCTAGCAGATTGGCCGGAATACAACAACCGCAACAAACGAATGCATCCACCTGATACGCCTTGCCGGGCCAGCGCGCGCCGCAAGCACTCGTGATCTACGCAGTCGAAAGCACTCTTGAAGGCGATGGTAGATATCCACAGATTCTGCTGCCACTCATAGCATTTGCCCTGCAATGCTGTCACTGCAAAGAGACAGTGCGCAGTGCCAGCGCCAACTCTGAATCCAGCTTGGTCCACGGATTTGCGCTTGTCCAGAACGGGGAGCCTCGAGCGCACAAGTTTCGCAAACAAATTGTAAAGAACCGGTGTTCTTGCAATTCGCCAGCAGATCATTGCTTTCGCGGGGTCGCCAGACTTGCGCAGCACAGAGACGACAGACTCTTTCCACGCCTGTGGCGGCGGACCCTTCGGCGACGCGATGTCGCTGCACAACAGAAACAGAAGTCTTTCAACTGCTTCGCCGCCGCCCATGATCATCACCGCCATGACTCCACGCGCGCATTTGCACTTGCCTCGCTGGAGCTCCCGGACACATGCCCTCGGCTCGCCCAGCGCGAACTCTGGGGCGCCCTCAGAAGGAATAGTTGCAGCAGAATGCCTGGCCGGCTCGGCGTTGACAGGCGAATGCAAAACCTCAGAAAAATCAGCAAAAACATTGACGATGGACTGCCCGTCGGCAGGCGTAGCTCCAGCGTCGCCAACCACGCGCGCGATAAAATGCTTCCGCTTGACTGTCTTCACAGCGGGGATATCTTTGAAATCACTGAAGAAATCCATGCGCGCACTAATCCTTGACGCGGCCCTCTCCCGTCGCAATGCCCGGACATCCCTCGATATCTGCTTGCTGGGCGATGTCCTGTCCAAGGTTTGGGTTTGGTCTCGTCGTAGCGTTGTTCCGTTGCTCCAGTAAGCGCCGCAATCTGGATTCACCGTCGCTGCAAAGGGCGCGGCGGCTTTGCCTGCACTCAGCGGCCAGCGCAGACTCCAACAATAAATCTTCGATTTTCTGACGAGAGGCGTCGGCATTGTCTGGGACTTCTAAGTTGCGAGCCTTCTCGTCGAGAGACTCCGAGCAAACGCTCGCGCCCACGGACGCACAATTCATGATATGTTTTGCGGTTGTCCTCGTCTCGCGCCGGGGCCGGATGGCGCACCTCAGCCTGGCGAGCGCGCACTCGCGGTCGCCGCCCATGTTCAGTGGCACATTCGCGCTCGTGCCCACGACGCGCGGCAAAAACTTCACATCGACCACCGCGTGATCCATCTGTCTGGCATTGCCACTTGCACCTTTATGCGTCACCACGCACTCCCGGCTCTCGGAGAAAAACGCGCCGCCGAGCATAAGACGTCCGACGCACGCTCAACTGTTCAACGAATGGCCTCGACCATTGGTCTTCCCAAGCCCGCGCGCGCCAACAGTGCGTCGCGCGTCGCCCTCTCCCCCGCTACCCGCTTCCGCGTTGAAGTCGCCAGTCAGCACGAAACGATCGCACACGCAATGCGTTTCCCAGTGAGCCTCCGACAAAGAACCACACGAACTCTGCACGCGTGCATCTTCATAGCCGGAGCGAGAGAAATGCGCAGTCGCCAGCCGCATGCGCAAAAATCCACTGCGCGCACCAACGCAACATGCTCTCTCCGAAATCATCGCGAAAAATCGCGCGCGGGGCCCGGCGGCGGCGAATAAAAATGCCAACACCTCGCGATTGTTGGCCCCAGCCGCATCCGGCGAAAGCGCGCCCAGCACGCAGAACAAAATACGATCGAGCCCCAGGCCGCCACGTCTCGTTCAAGCACAAGAAATCCCAATGACAATTATGTCGTTCCAGTAATAACTTTGCAATCCCGTCATCGGATATGAGGCCGCGGATATTCAAATGAAGAACGCGTGAATCAGGATATGTCCGAATAGCGCGTTCCGCATGGCGCGCTGCACTTGATGATCTCTCCTGCACTTCGCC